GTGCCTTCCTGATAATTTAACACTGTTTGAATTCGCTTTTTGACAATGAATGATTGAGGTGCCTTTCTGATACTGTTTGAAGTGTTGTGGTTGTGTGGATATTGGGGGAGATTTGAGGATATAATTTTTTACAGGAGTTCGATGTAAGCGGGAATCATCTACTGTAAGAAAATCGATTTCGCTTACATCTTTCTCTATATATTCTTCTAATTCCTTTAGCATCGTTGGAAGTCTTGGATATACATACCAGTGCTACGAAGAGTAAGTTTTGTCGGTGGAGGATGGAGGAGGCGAATCACGTGATTCTTTACCATAACTTTGTTTCTCATTGAGCTGCAGACTTCAGGTCAACCGTTGCGTGCTCTTTCTAAATGAAGAAGATACTTCAAAAGCCATTACTCAATACTATTTAAAGTGCATGCTCATCGTAAATTAATTCTTCTCGTCAAGTTGAGATGAAAACACTGCTCAAAGAGGCAAAGGGCATCTAAATGCGGATGTCACTGTAGCACATTGTCCGTTTCTTTTCATCATCCCACACTCAATGATTAGGCCCGGGTACTTTCCAGTGCGAGTATTCTAAATTAATCATTCGCAAGTTTAGTAAATATGCTGTCCGTTCAAGCGATCCTTGCACACACGAAATGTCCCATAGCCTCACTTGACCGTCTGTAGGAGGTCCCATGGGTCACTCCAGAAGCCCGTCCTACGTCTTGCCAACCTGTAGCTCAAACTGAGTTTCAAATTTCATCGCCTCACAATGTCCGAATGAGATAGAGATCTGTCGTTCTTCGGATGACTATCTTCAGTCCCTGCAAATCAACTTCCCTTCTTTACTCCCTGCCTAGCATTGTGTTGTGCGAGAAATCTGGCGGCGAGCTTTCGCTGGTACAAAGCATTCTCACACCAAACGAAATTGTCAAGTGCTCTTCAAGCGTTTCGTTCAAGATTGGCAAAATCTCGGTACCCCAGTCGCATTCATCTGTGACCAGGGAATCCAAGCCTTCGTGATGGAAGGAATAATCAATAACTACCTTGCAAAGCTGCAGTCCGTACTCTGTCAATCGAAATTGGTGAGCGACGTTGTCCCGGAATTTGACTTCATCCTCAACTCCTGGATCATCATCAAGAAATCCCTCGCGCTTGATGTTGCCTTCAATGCCCTGGAGAATTCTCTTCGCACTTTCATCATCGAGACTTTTTCCCCAGCTATATGCAAAGGCTTTCGAAGACAAAGGTGTTTCAAATGCAGTTTTGCGACGTTGTTGAGTGTCATTTCGCATCCACACCGGAATGTATTGCCCAGGAATTTTGCGACTTTGGAATGGGTTCTTGCACAGCAAAATGTTCTTGGGTGCCTTAGATTTGATATCGTAGAACAATTTTTGGAGAAGATACCAAAGTCTATTGAAAACCTCCATGATACTTTCCCCTTTCTTGGACATTGGTTTGAAGATTTGCTGAGGGACAACGACATTCGCGGGATCGGGATTTGGGAGAGTAACACTGACTCGATTCAGAGCCAACCCGAACGCATTACGTGCTTCTTCGCTTTCAAACATCCTCTCAGTGGTGTCTTCTTCTGCGTACTTTCCGAGACGTTGCATCAGGCGATATAGGTATGCTCCCGCTCTGGCTTCACGATTGGCTTGAAATTTGGCGAAATACTCAGCTGCATTGTGCAGGTCTTCCATCTCAACTCTGTTGATGTTGATCTCGGGGTAACATTCTCGCAGGTTGACACCTTCGCCAAATTGGGTTTCAAGAACATCAGTATCAGCGTGAAAGGCTTCAATTGAGGTAAAAATCGCATCCCAGTCCAATTCTTGAAGACAACCATCATTCATCATTGCGGTAGCAATTTCGAGCATCGGACGACAAACCAACAGTCTCTTCAAGTCACCGGTGTTTTTGAAGCCAGTGTAGGCTCCAATAGTAAGGAGGTCGGTTCCAGGGTTGTAAAAGGATGAGAAAAAGGCGGGATTTCCAGGTCGCGACATAGTGGGAAGAGAGTGTGGTATAGTTTAAACTTTTGTATATTTTATCGGGTTTTATTTAGAGTCTGTCAGGCAAAATTAGCACTGCTCGATTGATTTTCAGTCGACGGTAAAATGGACAATCTTACACACCTTGAAACGAACTTGGGAGGTAACGGATCGATCAATGCTCAGGAAACTCTTGTGATACTTGGGATGAATGAGAGTTTAAATGATATGAACGAGCATTCTGATTTTCGCCATTGACAGATTGTTGGCTAATTGTTGAATTGATTCTTGCGTAGGTCGTATTTCATATCAGATATTGATACTCGTTAAGTGGAAGCGAGAGAGAGGTTGCTGCTGAATTGGTTCATGAAATACAGAGAAGTGGAGGCTGGAGCTACGTGTGAATTGATTCACGACGCTGAAAATGATATGTCCATGAATTAAAGCGTAGTTCACTGCTGAGGCTGCTTTACATGGTGGAAAGTTTTGTGTTTAGGAAAGGAGTTGGAAGTAGCCACGAAGCAATTTATAGTCTATTTTGGCTAGAGATATCACCTACTCGAGAGGGTTCAATTTTAGATGGAGAAGGAACTCAGTGTTTAGAACGTCTGCTCTATCATGTGCATCCAAATCTTAGGAGGGGTAGTAGGTCTTGAGTTAAGAGATTCTGCCCACACGATTTGGAGAAGGAAGGGGTTGTGCTCTCCTAAGATAAGCGACAGCTTCTTCGGCTCAAATTGACGAGAGTGATCGATATACGACGAGCCTGTTCTTTTGGTGGCATCAATGAGTAACTTCACTGGCATATTTAGTGACTTGTAAATAGCAGTGGGAAGTACTGAGCTCTCTCTCTCTTGGGCGCATTGTGTTCGATCAAGGGTATGGAGTAATGGCGATTATCAGAATCCTCGTTGACGGTTGCCTTTCTCAAGGCAAGCCAGCCTCCATACCTAGGTAATAATCATTATCCTGGACTGGGCACTTAAATTGTATGTAAATCTGGTTCGCATCAGAGTAACTTCGAATTGTACTCGAAGTAATTTTGTGAAGCTGAAGGTGCGACAAGAAAGGTAAACCGCAGAAGGTGCGAACCCGGATACCAGATGATGTTCCGACTCCGATGTGGTTCGGTACTCGGGGCTTGGAACCCACTAGATGCGGCAAAGCAAGGGAGAAGCTCCCTCTTAATACCCAACCCCTTCTGATTTTCTACTCTGGGTAGGACATCGACATTAGCGAAGAACATGGCAGAGCGATCGGATATGAAGGAAGGACAACCTCAATTGACTTTGTATCGAGGCTGGCTGGACCCGGGAAAGCACGTGTGGTCTCCGTTTGTCACCAAGCTCGAAACACGACTCCGATTTGCAGGACTGTCATACAATACTGAAAGTGGCTCAGTACAGAAAGCCCCTAAAGGAAAGATTCCTTATGTTGAGATATTACGACTTGATGATGGCCAGCCGGAACAGATTGGAGACTCAACCCTCATCATCAAAGATCTGGTTCGAAGAGGGGTAATTCCTAACATAAACGCCAATCTTCCAGCAGCTGTGGGAGCTCAAGATCTTGCGATTCGAGCACTTTTAGAGGAGAAATTATATTTCTATCATGTTCGTATACATAACAAAGCTCTTTTGAAATCGTGGATAGGTCACGTGCTGACTGGTTTTGGTAGACTTGGGAACGATGGGGCCAGAACCACTACACGATGCGGGATCACATACTTCAGGCCGTACCTTATCCAATGCGAGTAATCATTGGATATATGATCTACCGTGGGACTGTCAAAACTTTGAATGGCCAGGGTACAGGACGGTACTCTGCTGAAGAAATCGCATCTTTTCGTGCAGAAATTTGGCAAAGTACTAATGCACTTTTGTCAGCTTCGAAATTCAAGTCATCAGATCGCTTGGAGGAGCCGTTCTGGGTCCTTGGTGGGCCAGAACCTACAGAGGCCGATACTACAGTTTTTGGTTTCATTACTTCTGTCCTTATTTGCACTGCGTAAGCTCAAAAATAATTAAAAATTTGGGCAAATGCTGACTGCAATACAGCTGCCCAGATTCTCAAAAACTTGTCAAAAGTTATCCTGCCATTCTGGAGTACGCTGGTCGTATCCATGATAAATACTTTCCGGATTACGAAAAGTGTGTGTAGAATCACCATCTATAGAGCAAGGAAATATGGTTGTAATATGAATGTAGAAGTTGGATTGCATTGCGAGAAGGAAAATTTCCCTGAAAAGTCCTTAAGAACGAGAAATAATTTCAAACTTGTGTCAGAACTTTAGTTGTGTTTTCGTAGTCTCCAAAGTGATTGTTACCTCGCGAGTTCATGAGGACCATTTACAAAATGAAGAAGATTAAGATGATCTCTGCCCGTACTTAGAGCCTACTCTTTCTTGTGCATCCTCAATGATAACACATCCTAAACAAATAAAGAATACCTCGTGTTCAGCAACGAGGGGTGTTCTAAATACCCCCCATGCTCACGTGCTCTTCCTGATAGGTGAGCTCGCCATACAATGCAACCATCACTGCAACACCTGAATGGATCTTTGTGATGTTCTGATATGATTTTAGAAATTGGGTAGCAAGGTCTCAATTTAGAAGACCTCTGGTCGGGGTTTTCTCAAAGTGTTCCTCCAGCATCGGGACTATGCTTAGGCGGGGAAATTTCCCTACCGATTTTGGTTGCCCTAGTTTCGCGACAGATCCGAATTGTTGCCGAACCCTCATGTACCTCGAATTTATTCCTTTTTTGATGGCTAAAATTCTTATAAGGGTTATAAAATATAGGAGAACATAAACTGCTTCGCTTCCAAGGAGTATCAAACGTTGTTTGGCATTTTTCGTACTATTCAATTTATTCAAGTGAATTAATGTTCATGACGCACATTTTGGCGGCATCACCAAATTTTCTAGTAGATTTTTGCTGACACACACCAAACACCACAAGAAAGCAACTAGGCAAAGTACCAGTGAATAAAAGAAAATTGCAGTGAGGTGTGGAAGCTCTCTAGCCGGTTCGAACGACTGACCTGAAGATGATAGCAGATGCTGCAATCTTCCGCTCTACCACTGAGCTAAAAGAGCCAGGTTTTTGTTTAATTGTGCTTATTTGTTAATATAAATGGTTGAGGAGCGAAACGGCTTAAAGGCGGCCGATCAGCCACCGCCCCACAATTCACTTGATGCGAATTGTCTGAAGACAGCATATACTTCATAAGTTTATTCAATTCTAGTCGTATATAAATTAATAAATCAATCACAATTTTCCAGTCTGGCCAAAACTAAATAAATTCCTCCTCCCCCCACTTTCACGAGAAACCCAACCTTTCCGGCCGATCTGCTCCTTTGTCCCACTCGCAAGTTGCACCAAAGTTGCTTCATCCTTTTCATTGGCCAAAAATCTGTGTCCATTCCCGAGCAACCTCCCAACGATATGCCCTCTCAAGGGTTTTCCATTGCGATGAAATTCGACAGTGTAAGTCTGACGTGATAAGTACATACCCGGATAACAGACAATTGGGACCAAATACCTCGATTACAGCCTCTCCCTCAGCATGTTCGTCTACAATTGGAGTCGATTCATCGTTTAAAAGTGCTGGCAAGGGGTTCTTTTCTGGGTATGGCGATTTTCTTGGCTGCGAAGAAAGACACACGACGTGCTGGTATGTTAAAGATCCTCCATTCGCAAGAACAAGACCATTTCGTGCTTTCCCTTTTCTCAATTCTCGCACCATTTCAGTCAAAGCCTATCTTTTCAGCTGATATTCCGCACAAAACGAGAGAGTATACTGACATGCATAGAATAATTATTTCCAGCACCACCAAACGATGTCAGCCCGCCTAGAAGTGTGATTGGCTTCGAAGGCTTCGGTATAGAGAGATCTAGGTGCATGCATGCGAGTTTAGGAACAATTGGAAAGCAGGAGTAAAAATCGTAAATGTCAATATCGTCCTTTTGAAGGCCAGAAACTTCCAGCCCTGAGTCAAGCGATCGCGATATCGAAGGACTGGAATGATAGTTTGGCCGTTCCCAGACTATTCCTCTATCAGCCATATTCAGCAGTTTGACCAAGATTCTTACAATTTGAACTGTCGCTCGTCCCTGCACCACCAAGTGGGTAGATCCACCGACTTTCTGGTATACCTAATTCTTTGGCATACTCCGTGGATGTGAGGATGCATGTTCCTGCTAGGTTGATATTGTTGAATGCGTTCATCAAAAGAGGATCTGAAATCGTCAGTGACATTCAACCCGGCAGAGTAAATGCTTACATGGTGTACAGATCATTCTGTTCTTTTCAGATACAGTGCCAATGAATTCTGCACTTGCAGCTGGCTGTTCATAATTCCAGGCCAGAGAGCTCTTTTCCGCAACTTTGGCAAAATCAGCATACAACTTAGATGACTCTGTGTTATTGTCTTGAATCGTCTGGTTTCGATGTGCCCTGAAGCCCGCTTCGTACAACGGGTACACATGAATTGGTAACCCAATCCGATGTATCGTCCCTAGATCTGGAACCGTTAGCTAGGCTTACTGAATCTACACGAGAACTCACTCTCTCCATATCGGGTCACATCCGAGAGTGTCACAGTTCTAGCATTCTTGTCCGGCAGCGTCCATCCAGGCGGAGGAAGCTTTTTAGCTGCAGCGCATGCAGCCACTGAATCAAATCAGTATCACCTCTTTCAGAAGAACATGAAGCTTACACGATGCCAAAGCTTCTCCTCCTGTTACGACTGCAACCTTACTTTCGCCAAAAGATATTCTGCGAGCGGCTTCATCAAAAAGCTTTGCTGGCGAATTACCCCCATGATCGCTGAGGGCTTTATATTCAGGTATTACACTCAACTTTTCGGCAAGAAGACCAGGTAGATCGGGATAATTCCACGTCCAAGTCGCCACTACAGAGACACTATCAATACTTGCTTGAAGTTTCCTTGCCTGCGCTTCTGGCAAGTTGGTGTCTTTGATCGCATTCAAAGTAGCTTGAAGCATCAACTGCATAGGCTCAACGGCATCCTCGACTTTTTGGGATCTGTTTTTGATATCTCCAACTCCAACCACTATTGGGATCGATCGGCCTGACATATCCAATCCAACTATTGTTGGAATTTGTCAAAAGCCTCCCTTCAAGTTAATTTTCCAAAATAAATCAAGGTATAAACCAACCAGAGTCGCACAAGAATAATGAATAGGGGTGACATGTCCAAGAGGACCTTTCGCCCTACACCTACGTGAAAATCATCAAGGGAGGCCTCCACTTCCGGCAGAGGGGTTCTTGGATAGATCACATGAACCTCGGCGACGCGGGTAAGAAACCTGGAAAATCCTGCCAACGTCAAAACCCAACATCTCCTGATCCCCTTTTCGCGATGCAACACAACAAAACTGTATGCTCATCTCCAGCGCTCAATAAAATCTTTGTCGCCTCGAAGTCGCCTCAATATCCATCGCACATCTCTAGGCCTTAAGACGCGGATTTCTAGGCTCAGTTCAAATTATTTTGTGGCGGAACGTCTTCGCGTCAATTATTGTCGAAATGTCCTTGGATCAAAATCTACCACAACACTCCTTCTTACATGTCGAGCTGCCTGAGTCGACTTTTGCCTTATTCAGCGAGCAATATGGAGAGTATTATGGACATCCTCACGCATAATCTAAGGTTGGGTATGCTTCTCTGCTTGGCAAATTGACGGCAAAACGCGTACCATGACGTACCCGCGACTTCACATGACGAATAAATACGCACGGATTCGACCCTGTGAAGAGCTTTCTGGGTTCGAAGAAAATACTGACATCTGGAGCCCCAAGAGATCCGAACAAGACAATGAGGCTTTCTTGGTACGAAAGTCCTTCTCCAACGATGCTTTCACGAATATCTCATGTGACTGTCTGTACTTGCTTCAAAGAAGATCCGGATCGGAAATGTCCACTTACCGCAGTGCTGATCGGATCTCCAAGCAAGCGTAGTGAGTGTCAACTGCCGGAGGGATTTTCATGGGAACATCGATTTGAGTTCTCACTTGGACCTCTTCCTCGCTCTTTCTTCGGATGGCAGATTCGTCACCCGAAGTGGCCACCCGAAGTGGTCACCCGAAGTGGTCACCCGAAGTGTCTGTGATTGAAGCTGCAGATCAATCCTGAGATATTCTTTCTTTTGCAGCTATTTTTGTTTCTATTTCACATCCGCTAGGTCATTGTTTACGGAGTCAAAACGGGAAGAGCCTGCACCTTCCCCAGACTATTCTCCAGTCTATCCTCTATCGAATCCATCTTGCAATATATTTCCAACGTCCAAAAATAAGCATATGTGAGCCTGTGCCGATTTTCCGGCGTTAGGATAGTCTATAAAGGCCGGGCGAGAGTCTGTGTCTGGATATCTTATCAGGAGTTCCTGGTGGGCATGACGAATTTCTGTAACACCCGCAGTTTCGTTTCAGTCTGAAAATCGATCATTAACCAGTCTTTTAAAGCCACTCTTCACTACCATAAGGCTGATCAACCATGGCATAAAGATTCTAGTTGAGAAGAGGGGCTGTGGACTATTCTCGAAACCATAAAATATGGAGCTAGAAGGCAAGATCACCTTATGGTTTGTTGTGACCTTGAAAGGATGGGGCATAGTCATAAGTGCAGTGCGCACTACGTGGCTTCTGCTTTTTGAGACCTCTACAAAACAGCCATTGTCGAACGCCAAGAATTGAGAGCAGACGATGAAGGTTGCAGGTAGCCAAGAACAGCTCAAGTCATTGGACAATCGGATAGTGGACTTGAAGTAGGTCACACGTAACTCGCCTAGACTTCGGTCCTAAAAGAATTGACGCGGCAGTTCATTCAAACTTTTGCTCGAGACATATGTCAAATAGTCCCAGAAGATTTGACATGTTGAGTTGATTCAATTCTAATGAGCTGGCCCTCACTGTTTACTGCACTACTTTCATTTTAGCGGCCTCCAGGTGAGAGCCGATCGCTCATTTCCTTTACTCAAATGGCGTCTAGGACTACGGATGTTGGCGAAGGGGAGTCTTTGGGTCGGGTACAGCTTCGATCGGAGTCCGGGGAGATCATTTTGATTCCCAAGCCATCAAATGATCCGAATGATCCCTTGAATTGGTATGTGCAAGACCAAACTTCTGGCTCACAAAGACTGACTATTCAAGGTCGCAACCTTTCAAGTACTATGTCGCCGTCGTCACATGTTTTGGCATGCTGATGTGCACCTTCCTCGCCGCTGGACCTACCGTTGCGCTAGTTCAGATCGCGATGGACTTTGGCGGTGGTCCAAAAGCAAATCTAGCAGCTGTTCTTCCTGCTGTGGCATTATTCTTCACGGTCTCGGCTCTTACACAAGGAACAGGAAATCTCCTCTGGCAACCTCTTATCAACAAATATGGCAAGCGGCCTATGTATATCATTTCCTTCACGGGTTATTTTGCGACTGCCCTATGGTCGGGTCTCGAGACTTCTTACTCCGGCGAACTTACAGCGAGAGTGCTTCTTGGTTTTTTTTCTGGTGCGGGAGAGTGTCTGGGTCCTGGAACGATTTCAGATGTCTTTTTCCTCCACGAGCGCGCAAGTGCTATGGCGTAAGTCTAAAAATATACTTCAAGAGTGGGTTCTAATCGGGTGCAGGATGTACAACTTCGCCACCGGGTCTGGAGTTTCAATAGGCATCATCGTTAGTGGTATCATCACATTGAACAATTCTTGGCGAGTGATATACTTCGTCGGTGCAGCCATGATCGGTGTCTTGCTTCTCCTTATCATCTTTACATTCCCGGAGACAGCTTATAACAGAGTCTACGACAAATCCGAACCAGGAGATATCTACGAGAATAAGAAGAATCCCTTCCGGTTATCGCTCTCAATAATCCTTGACGACGATGAAAAAGCTCAAGTGGCTCGATACTATGCGGAAGCAGATGAACAGTTTGAAGGAACGAGGGATGAAAGCTCGGTGATCCAGCGCATGGAAGATCGCATTCGTCGACTGGAAGCTGTTGTTCTTGGAGGACAGAAATACACCCCGTTACCTGGAACGACCCCACCAAAGAAGTCTTGGGCAAGCCAGCTTGCACTATTC